GCCCGCGCATTTGTCGGGCCGAGTGGCTCGTCATGCTGCAAAGCGGGTTGATCCGAAACCCGCTCGAGCTCGAGCTCGAGCTCTGTCCTGGGCACCGCTTTAGAAGCCCCTAGGGGGTTCGAAACCCGCAAGAGGTCGCATGGTCTAATGCACGGTCAAAGCCTTTCTTGCCAACTCCGTCCAACTCTGAGACCCGGCACCGGGAGGCACTGGGCATGAATATCGGCCGCTCATCGACGTCTGTCGGGTCTGCCACAGCCCTTAGTTTCTTTCCGACTTAAAACTCAGCAGAGCTGTCCTCCCTAAGACATCAGGACTTTAGACTAGCCTTAGTTTGTGACCAAGTTGCAAGGATGAACACCTAAGCCAACCCTTTCCATGGTCATGGGCCGCCCATAGTATTGTCTTGTGTTCCGGTGTTGGTTTCCCCCTCAGACTAGTTCAGCTCCGCCTTGTCTGCCTGCCCAACAACATACCCAATCACCTTCGATGCAGCGCTGAAAAATTTTAGGGAAAACCAGCACCCTGAAGACTGGAACAGCCGGAAACTTGAAACCCTGCCTATCGATACCACTGTAAGCCCTCCTGTAAGTTCCGGAAGTGGCTGGTGCTCGAATCGAGCGTGCTTGAATCGCGGGTGATGGAATCGGAATGTTCTGCTGGACTCGCGGGTGTTGACATTATAGTGTCGTTGAATCATGAATCGCGGTGCTTGAATCTCGCGTGCTCGAGTCACGGTGCTTGAATCGCAGTGCTCGAATCTCGCCTTCGCATCTCGGGAAACCTGAAGTCTGAAATTCCACATCTGCACTCCGAGTCTGAAGTTCCAAACCTGAGGTTGAACCTGAAGTCTGACAGACACCAAAGCAAGGCCGCACAGAACCCTGTCAAGCAAAAACGTTTCCCAAGAAGAAAACACACACACACAAACACAAACACATCCGGCAGCTATTGGAATCGAGCCGCTCGGATGAGCCTTTTCGCTGCAAACGCCTGCTTCCAGACTCCGGGGACTGCGACGCCTCGACCGACGCAGCCGGCGGCAGCTCATCGAAGTGTGGCAGATCAGCCCCCCTAAGCTCCAAACAAAGCGGAAGGCATCCGGAAAACATCCCATGTCCTATATGTCCTCTGGCCGAAGCCATGACCCCTCTTTTGCATATGAGCAGCTCGGACGAGGCAGCAAAGGCCTGCGGTGTAATCGAGGAGCCTCTCCTCTGCAAACGCCTGCTTCCACTGCTCGCCATGGGGCAGCATTAGCCCGAGCTCGAAGCACAGCTGTGCGGTTGCACTTCAACTACAGGAAGATACGTGGAGACTGTAGATTTTGCCAAGACAATGACAACCTATGATGCAGACAGATGACAGTGTTTCGCTCGGGATTGCTGTTGATTCTCACGACGATCGGGTGCTGAGGATGGGGTTGGCGTGGAGGCAACGGTGATGCTACGTGCAAAAAGACTCGCAAACCTGAGCGTTGCGGGCTTTCAGAATGCGAAGAATGCAGCGGAAGCGAGGCCGCAGCAAGGACGCGCCCACTGCCACTCTCTCTCGGGCGGCCTTGGAGCCCTCCTCGGCCTCTGCCACTTTGAGCTCCTGTCCGGTTGCGCTTCGTTTCAAGAGAGCCGAGGCCGAGGCTTCTCTCAACTCTCAGGTCCAGAAGAGCTGCTCTCGCCAGCACTTCCGCACAGAGCTTGTAAACTTCTCGTCCTTCCAAAAGCACTTTTTGTCGGCTTCCGTGGGCCTACAGAAGTCTTGTATGTGCAGCTGAAGATCTGGGATACCATGCAGGGAAAGCATCCGCCCCATCAATTTCGCCGAGCACCTGACACCACCGTTCTTCCCGAAACTGCCAAGCTGTAGTAGCATCGCCGAGACCAAGACTGCACCAAAAGCCAAACCGCGAGCATAGCAGTCGCCAGCCCCATCCATGTCCTCTGCCTGTCTGCCAAATCGCGACGGCTTCGGCGATGGCTTCGGAAGTGTACACGTGGTATTGCTTCCGCAGTTGGGCCCGGGGGTTGTGAGAGCTCCTGTTCGCCCCGCAAGTGGGACCGAACCCTGGAATTCACAGCATCGGGAGCAGCTGCGAGGCCGATCCCAGCGTCACTGCAGCAACAAAAGTAAAAGATTACAAGGAAAAGGACTTGAGGGGCAGAACAGGGAAGGAAAGCTAGGCTGGAGGGACGGCAAGCGATACAGAGCTGGCGAGACCGGCTCCAAGCATCATCGCCTCCAACCAGCAACGGAAGGCAAACAGAGCTGACGAGGCCAATCAGAAACTCGGGAAACGCTGGCGAGGCGGGCTCCCGGCACATCCAACCACAACAAACCAACTGGTAGGGTTTAGGGGGGGAGGAGAAGGGGGGAGGGTGTGAATCAGGCGCAGGGGGAAGGGGGGGGATGTTGGGGAAGCAGTGGTGAGGGGGGGTGGTGGCTGCTACTTCTGCTACTACGACGACGACGACCACCACTAGTAAAGTACGAGCAAGCAGCAGCAGAGTCATTTTCGGCGGCCTCAAGCGCCATGTCACCTCAGCCAACAGGTGCTTTACGTTCGACGATGTTGAAGGCCATTCACAACTTCTGGTAGGTCCACTCGGCTCGATTATCATCTCATTACCATTTTCAGTCTAGGAGTCCGACCGGCTCGCTTCCATCCGAAGATGGCGGCAGTTCGCTCGATCGGGGACATAGCCTCCGCCTCCTCCTCGACCTCGCTGAACATCGCCGTGCTCTGCATTGAAAGGCTCACAGGCACATGGGCCTCTTGAAGGAAAGTCCTGCGGAGACTCTCGCCTTCAGGAGTCTCGGCCTGTAGCTAGGCAATGGACTTCAGCTTTGACCAATGCAACGTCCCTGTCCGTGCCTGTTCACCAAAACCAACATCTCGCCAGAAGCCAGGCTTCAGAGCAGACTCTTTGGGCATGCAACACTCACAGCCCTCAGCGTGAGCCGCATTGAATGCAGCCGCCATATCGATTTTGCCTGCACGCGAGCGGCAGCACGCTAAAGCCACTTCCGCATGCAACGAACGCATTATGGCTGAAAAGTCACCTCTGGCTGCCATGCGCTGCTCTGCAGCAAACGGGGCTGGAGGAGGGGGAATATCCTGCGACGAGGAGCAGTGGGAGCAGTGCTACTGCTTTCCTTTGCAAATGTACAGACACATTCTCTAGACTTCTGCTGTGTGGCGGCAGCGCGGAATAAGCCCAGAATCTAGACTGCGTCTACAACAACCATACCGGAAATGCAAGATGTTTCCCGAATCCTCCTCTGGCATTGCATGGAGCGCCATACGCCTCGGTTTCTTCATGAAGACTGTCGTTACCATCTTGGGCGAGCAGCCAATCGCAATCCGCGCCATGCTGAGATCTGGGCCCGCAGCACGTCGGCCACAAGGTTGGTTGAACGTGTTGCAGAAAGCGTGTATGTACACGGCCAGGGGCCCAGTGATGCTGGCCGATTGGCTCAGTGAGTCTACTGCTTAGTGCTGTTGTGCAAAAGTTGATGTGTCGTTGCATAACTCGCATCTTCGAGCCTGCACGCGCGGGCTAGGCCGTTCGTCAAGAATGCCGGCAGTACTCCTTTAAGCAGTCACAGCGAAGCGCTCCGGGTGTCGGTGGCTTTGCTCCGGCACTTTCTCTGGATCTGCAGGCCCATCGCGCCTCCAGGGAGCATGGATTGCTTCAAGCCCACGCAAGGTCCACCTGCCTCTGGAACATGAGGAGGTAGTTCCTTCGTGTTTTTGGGTCATGAGAAGATCGAAGAAGCTGAAAGCAAGACGATGCCGGCTGCAAACGAGACTCCAGGAACCGATGACCTTCCTGTCGGTCGCCTGCAAAAGGACGTGGAAAGACAGAAAAAGATTTTAGAACCCACTGTATAGAAGCAGAGAGGCTCAAGAGCAGAATCCTGGCCTCACAGCCTGCTCGGCCCAGGTACTCGGTGCGTGAGTCATCGAAGCGCCACCAGCTCAGCGTTGCAAATGGGATCGCTCCAGTTCTTTACATGGACCTGCCAAAACCAAGCTGCCCATCCGCTCGGCGACAAGAAGCCTAAGCTGAGACGTGGGGTCGAATTGTCAATGCTGCGGAGGCCCCGATAACAGTGAACTAGCAAGAATGGGAGCCTTCCGAAGTCCTCAATTCTTGCTTCCACCCTGGTGAGTGCTCCTCTTTAACCTGTTTGACATCGGGATATATGCCGGCGCGGTGTCTTGAAACCCACTGATCTGAAGGTTCTGAAGGCAAAGAATGTACTGTTGGCATCAGCTGGATGCTTGTGCACTCTACGTGCTGCTCGGTGGCTGTGTAGTGCCCAGAAAACGGCGAGGAACCTAGCGGATTCATCAAGGCCAGCTGTCAAGCAACAAGACGAGACGATTGCCTACATGATCCACCGCTGCAAACAGATCCTCAGGTGCTCTGCGATCATCTCATATCATGTCATCGCACGGTACCAGAAGCAGTCTGTCGCATGAGGCTCGTGCATATTGCAACTCCGTGTGTTGAGACGACCTTGTCGCAGTCAGAAGGATGAGAGCCGCTCGTCACCCCTAATCTCTTTGTGGCCTCTTGCCGCCAGCGTTTCGAAATAGCAATCAGCGAAGATACAGCAATGCTACTTGACAAGATGCAGGAATGAGCATGACCATCAAGATGCAGAAGTGATGAATAGGCTGCCAGCATTTTGGGGACGAAGTCTTGAAGGTCAAGCCGCTCTGATGGTAGGCCGACCTATGCTTCGTGAAGTCGGAGAGGGTACCGAGCTGAAACGGACAGGCCTCACCCTCGATCTTCCATGTGGGAATACCCCAAGCTCTTGCCTGATGGCGTACGAGGGAAATAAATTAGGCTCCTGTCCATTCCATACATCGGTACTAAGATATGGCCACGCCTCAAATCCAAAGCGCTTGAGATGCACGAACAGCAGCAGTGGCAGCTTCCTCAATCTCTGCATGCTGACGGTGCTGCCCGCATCCATAATGTCCTTTCCGATATTTCGCACCCTTTTCCGTGCCTCCGGTGCTGAAAGCTGTGTTGCCCCCACTCTTCAGTTCTGTGGTCGTCACTAGTTCCAGCTAGCACCTCGTATCGGGATTTGTTGGGCAAGGCCTCGACTGTGCTGCGTGAGCGTCATCTGTGCAGAATGTTCTCGTTGGTCTTTGGCTCTGGCCGTACTCGAGGCATTCCCAAGCGGGCGGTGTTGGTCCGAGGGTTTGAGGCCAGTGGCGATGCCTGCCTTTGAGAGCTACAAGTAGCCAGCCAAGACTAAGATCCACTGTCGCTGTCGCTCAGCAACTCATGTTTCTGGCAGCGCCAAAGACTTTTTACGTCACTGCCGTATCAGCATCGGGAGCTGGAACAGACACCTTCGCCTCCGGGAAAGGCGTGCAATAGCACCGACATGAAATCGCCACGCGGAACGTTGCCTTGACAGAAGCTGGGTTGGTTGCTACCTGCACGCCAAATAACTGTTTGACTGCTTACCCATGCTTACCCCAAGCTTGCGGGACGCGAGACAAAAGGGCGCCTCGTCAGCCAGACTAAGGAGAAGCTCACGAAAGAAGGCCAGGCGGAATTGCCGTTTTCGCAACCGCATACCGGCTTTGACCTCGCTAGACAAAGGCTGCGGCTTTGGACTCCCGACGACAATCGAAGCAAAAATGGACAAGCAGCCCATTCTGACAGCGTCAGCGATGCGAAGACCTCAGGACTGCTGACAGCTGCACCACAGAGAATCCACGACGACCGAGCCCGCTGCATTCACCACGAGTGTCATGTTGTACAGATAGTTTGCATTGCCTTCACAAGAAGCGCGAGGTCACTAGATGACATTAAGCACAGCAACATGCACATCGTTTGAGGAGGCCACCTGCATTTCTGCCCAACCATACCTGAGCGCTACCGCTTTGCAGGGGGTTCTTCCCCAACTGTTTCCCGAGCATGGAACTGCCACCATCGTGGGAACCATCGACAGGCCGAACATAACGCCACTCAGAAGAAACGCGAAGTACTGCCTGGCCAAAATCACAGGTCGAGCGCAGAAGCGAGCTAAGCTTGAAGACCAGAAGATTTTCGGGGGGCCCAAGGCTGTGTGAGGGCGGCTGGCTCTCTCGGATGAGCTCCGCTTGAACGAGCATGGCCGACACCATCAACGCATAGTCGCCTCCGGTAGAGCATGCACCCACAAAAGGAGCCAAGGAAAAACGTTGGAAGCTGGTTCCATGCGGCTCCGGTACTGGCCGTGGGATAGGGCTTGAAGATCGCAATCTGGTTCCAACGCACACATGGTTCCGCTAGCCGGGATCAAGCCCAACTTGGGATGGCACCATGCCAATGGCAGCGCTGCAGTGGATGAAGGGCCTCAAACGGCTCAGACGGTCTGGCAGATAGTTTCAGCACGCGACTCGTCGTGAGGAAAGAGCCCTGTCGGCGCATAGCTCCCTAGACGGAGGTGGAGAGGGACCTCATGAGATCAACCGAAAGTTGGGACCTGCAGATCACTTAGCCAACAAGCAACGCTTCTTGCGCTGAGGCTGCATGCTGGGTAGAAAAGAATATGGGCGTGGAACGCAAAGACGAACAGCAAGTAATAGCGCTGAAAGACCTAGTCAAAGCAACACGAGCACTCAGCAATGGGGCTCCAACATCCTTACAGGGCCTGGCCATGCCTGGCCTCAATGAAAAAGTACCAGAAAAAGCCAGTATTCGGCGTCAGGTCGCGTATGCTGAGTACTGACAAGAATGCGGCCTCAGTAAATGGCAGCAACACGGATGCCCAGGAGGAGCCCGAGGGTCTGCGGCCTCTAAGAACTGGAGCTCACCGGCCATGGCAGCCACCGACGCCTGGCCATGGCGATGTCGATGGCGCACCCAGCATAACAAGCATTGACAACGAGCGAAGAGCACTCCCAGAAGGCACGCAAAGGAGCCGAAGACGACTGCCACGAAGCAAGCCTGACAACACGAGATCTCTTTTTTTTCGCAGACTGATAAGCCTAGTGTAGCCATGGAACGCTGTAGAGGAGGAAGCCAAGGTTGATCTGCGAAACATCGCTCTCTGTCAGTGCTTTGGCATTGTGCTGTTTTAGTTTTGCCTCTGCGAACTCAAAACTCATGCCGGTGAGACGACGTTGCCCTTTGTCAAAGTCAATGCTTCGTACCTGGCACTATATCTGGCGCTACGAAGTCACTGCGGTCTGCAAGGGTGGCAATTGGTCTTGGACAAACGGAGAAAGCATCTGAGCCCTGGCGAGCCAAGGCACTCCATGCGGTCTGTGCGGTCCGTGCAGTCGTCTTTGGCTCTTTGCGTGCGAGGTTGCCTTCCCGCAAACGGCAGGATGCGAAGAATGGCGAACACAAGGCGCATCCCGTGTGAGTCCCCTTGCGAGCTTGCCAAGTCGCTGGTTATAGGCAAGGCAAGCACACGGCAACACGAGCAAGACCGGTGAAAAGGGACAAACCTCAGAGCTAGCAGCAGCTAGCATGGCCAGTCCGTGCGCTGGGTGAGATTAAGCTTGCAGCATACAGTGACAAGGCAATTCCCGCAGCGGACGCTCCGCCTCTGCCGGCCTGAGTCTCAAACTGTGGGAGTTCGAGGTTTGCGGGCGGATGCACGACCGGTGCAACTTATCGGCTACAAATACCATTTCTCGACTGCTGAGAACAAGGTCACCGCTTACGGTTCCCACTCCGCACAAGCAGAAGCGCGCAAACACGCCTCGCAAAAATCGCATAGTCATTGCACACGCCAGACGCGAGTGTTCAGCTCGCCCATACATACACACGTACATCCATGCATGCATGCATGCATGCATGCATGCATGCATGCATGCGTAGCTAGCTACCGACCGACCTACCTACCTACCTATCTACCTACCTACCTACCTACCTGCCTGCCTGCCTGCCTGCCTGCCTACCTACCTACCTACCTACCTACCTACCTACCTACCTACCTACCTACCGACGTAAGTACGTACATACATACGTACATACATACATACATACATACATACATACATACAGACATACATAAATATACACACAGAGAAGGAGGGGAGAGAGAGAGAGAGAGCGAGAGAGAGCAAAGCTTTGCACACATATATTGTGGGCTGACATGTGTGTTTGTGCGTGTATGTACATGTATGTTTGCAGCATGCGCACAGGCGTGTCTGACTGCCTGCCGTCACGCCGTCCGTCCGTCCGTCTGTATGTAGGTGTTTGAGGTTATGTATATGTTTAGGTGCATGTTTGTACGTACGTAGGTAGGTAGGTAGGTAGGTAGGTAGGTAGGTAGGTAGGTAGGTAGGTAGGTACAGGTAGTCGGATAGATAGGTGTGTGTGTGTGTGTGCGTCTCTCTCTGTGTGTGTGTGTGTGCGTCCGTGGGTGTTTGCGGAGGCCTGCATGGTTCTGCAAAGCTCTGTATGCGTATGTAAACACATACAGAATGCACACACAGACAAGATGTTATGCGGTTATAACGAGAGACACTGTGTTTAGGCAGGGACAAATGCGCATGCACGTTGTTCCAGGGACGAATCAGCGGCTTAAGGCTTTGGAAGTTTCAGTTACAGTTTCTGAAGCCTACCCCAAACTCTACGCCCGGAACTGTCAAACCCCAGACCCTACCTAAACCCGACACCCAAGCTGTAAACCCCATACCCCCCAAAACCTTGCATGCTGTCAGTCCATATAAGGACTCATATTTTCCGGCTGTCGGGCCCAAAGACCATCACATCTGAGGCTTTGGGCTAATTCTGAGCCTTGGGGCCTAATCCCATATCCTACCAGGTCCCCGCAAGTTCAGAGCCCTTATGGTCCGCAATAGACGATATTCAAAATTAGAGGATAGTACACCGGCCTAAATATTTACCTATACTATTTTTGGGGTTTTTTGTTATAGTAATACTATAAAGGAGCCCCAAACCCTATTCTAATTTAATTATTAAGGCCTCTACATTAGTTGGGGTATCTAGGTAGGTTGGAAGAACCCACGTGGCTTCACAAAGGACGGTTTCCATCGGAGCGGGAAGCTTGAAAGCGAGAAGCCCTAGCTGGAGGACTAGGGTTCAGGGTTCAGGATGTAGGGAAGTTTATGATTTGTACGGTGTTAGGGTTCAGTCAGTTCAGTCCATCAGCAGTATGGACCCAAGGTCCGAAAGCGTTCCTATCCCAAGCAAAACCCATAAAACCCTAGGAAGACTCCATAAATTCACAAAGCCCTATGACCGTGGGCCCCCTAAACCCAAACCCCATGAAGACCCAAAGCCCCTCTCAAAATCACGCCGTGGCTCCCGAGGCTGCGCGCGAACGCCAACCTGGGCAGCCGATGAAGGTTTTCCAAATACTCCAAGAGCCGTGCAATCAGGGATTTGGAGTTTCGGGATACCTGTGCAAGCTACGGTCTACTTCTTCATCAATTAACGGAGGTTGTTCCTTTTGGTTTCTAGACCACTTGCAACAGTTTTTCTTTGTCAGTGTTTCAAGGGCTGTTGATGGAGACCAAAAAGGCCTTACGCATGGAAAGGGGTCTTTTTAAGGCTTTGCAAACGCCAAAGCCCTCTTTTGGGCTTTCACACGGGTGGCCTTGGGCGGAGGGGGGGTTAGGGGCTGATAACGGCTCGTATAATGGGTGTGACAAGGTCAGAAGGGCTGTATCACGGCTCTGAGAAAAGGCGTCTACAGAGCTCTAAAGATTGAGAGAGAGTTTAGGAGTTGTACACAGCGTTACTATCTGAATGATGAGGGAAAACTTTCAGCTCGCAAAAGTAATGTGTCCTTGGTTGTGTCATAAAGGTCATATAAGGGCTCTTGCAAGGGTTTATGTTCTCAGGGACTGGGACTTAATGATTTGGACTGTCGCGACTCGGACGATGCAGGCGAGGCTTGTTCAGCTTCGAAGGCAGGCGCGCTGTGGCCCATCAGGGTCGGCTAGGGGCACACTTTGTACTCCTTGATCGTGGCATCTTTTGGAAATGAGACAGTGGGTGCCCGGGCTTGCCATTTCGCTTTGTAGCGACTCCCATTCTGCGATCCCTTCTCCTTGCCGGCATTGCCTATCTCACACGCGCGAGTGCAGAGCGGATTGTCTGCCCACCACTTCGACAAATGGCTTGAGCCGTAGCCGTTTACTTCAGGATTTGGGGGTTTAGCGCAAGGAGGTGTGGAGTGTCTCGGGGTTGTCCCTCCAGGGGTTCAGGAGTTTGGGGCTTGGGGCTTGGTGTCTGAACCGGGTTGGTTTGAAGGCTGAGGGCTTCACGTTTCACGCAGTTTCGGCTTTATTCTACGCATTTTTCGGATACCCGACCTCTCTGCTGTCAAACCGTACCTTAAAGAAAAGCTACATTTCAACTCCCAAGCCCTCCACATGCACCGCTTCAAGGATTCGATTTACTGGGCCGTCCACCGGTTGCCCAATTGTTCAACATCTTCGTGTAGCTTGGATGTCATGGCTGCGCAGTTTCTACTGGATGTGAGAACGTCTTCTTCTTCTTCTGCCTACTACTGCTACTACTACTACTACCACCACCACCACCACTACTACTACTACTACCACCACCACCACCACCACCATCACAGCAACAACTTACGACGACGGCGAAACACGAAACCAACCTCCAAGTTACTAGACGCCCTCCTTTTTGGCCACATGTCCATACTCAGCCATACTCCCCTCAGTGTTACCCATGAGCTTCTGCGGCTAGGAGGCAAGGAGGCTGTAGAGTGGCAACGTGCCATCCTCGTCGAAGGTTCCCGGCCCCTCCTCAGCCAAGTGGGGGTTTAGGTCTGCAGAGTGGGTACCCAAACCCTTAACATCAAAATCGCCCAAAAGCCTTGTATAATGCCCAGAAGCCTCAGAATCTGAGTCCTTTGAGGGTAAGGGAAAAAGAAGAAAGATCAACGGGCATGTGTACAAAGTTAGGAACACATGGAATGAAGGCATAGATAGGAAGCACGTCCACACATCAAAGAAGCAGGCGGCAATGCTTATATATATATATATGTATGTATATATATATATATACATATATACATATATATTTATAAGGAGTATAGGTACAAACACGCTCCTCAGCCCAGGGAAAACACTGTATGAATATACATGCACGTGTGCAGATGTGTCTGAAGCTTATGAAAAGAAAGAGATGTGCAGTTGTAAGCATGCATACCATGCCTACTTGGAGGATCTTGGGACTTAGTAAATAGGGTTATAAGTAATTACCCTAATTGGGGTTATAAGTATAGTTACCTTGTTTATAACCCCCTAAACCCTAAACCTTTGTTTATAACCTCAGTTACTGAGTCCCATGCTCCTCTAAGTATGCACGCTGTAAAGACCTGCGCCTTCCATGCCCGCGACTGCCTCGACCTACACCTCGGACCTCAGAGGTTTGCAGTGTGACAAAGTCCTACTTAACGGATCATGGGACTTAGTAACTCAGGTTATAAATAAGGTAACTATACTTATAATTACTTATAACCCCCAATAAGGTAGTCATAACTCTACTTACTGAGGTCCCAAGATCCTCCAAATAAACCGATCTCCTCTCGGTGGAGTGTTTCTACCCTTCTTTCTCTGACGAAATCTATGTGCCCTCTGTAAACCCTACACCCTTGTAGAAAACGGCCAGGATGCCACTTTCGCTGGTATGTGGCACTGCTGGGACGTGGAGAAATACCTGACAGGCAGACGTGCCCAGGATTGTTCTGACATCTTTCGAAGTTAATGATGGATAATGGCTCTAGGGGCTTAGGGTCTAGTGGTAGGGTGCAGGGTTTGCGGTTGTAGGTAATGGTTTAGCGGCTTAGGGTTTAGGGCTAGGGTTTAGGGATGCAACTCCCGCATTGGGTGCAAGGCTCTGAGCAACGGGCCTAAATGGGTTGAACAGTGCTTTCCTTGTGCAGTTGCTTATGAGTGTTCGGGAAGAAACGGTTCAAACTTTGGTCCACCTCGTTTCCGTGACTATAGCAGGACGTTCGGCTGATCCATTGAGGCTGGTGGAAAGCCGCCACCAAGCGTGCAACGAATCTCGGTGAATCAGTGGAAGGGTTTTGACCCGAACAACTAAGCTCTCAATTTCGCATTTTGCTTGGGACTTGTTTTTCTGTTTGAAAGACCTTAAACCCAAAACCCTAAACCGGAATATTTTTCACGATAGTCTTTGCACTCTACGGGGTGAACTGGGGAGGTGGGGGCGCTGGAATCCTGAAGTGTCTTTGCCGTGCAGCGGGCTATCCACTTTTCTTCATGCGGGAGATTTCGTGCACTTGAGGGTCTCGTCTCGGACTAGTTGGTTTAGGGTTTAGGGTTTAGGGTTTAGGGTTTATATAAGGTTTATGGCTCGTAGGGTTAGGGCTCGTAGGGTTTGTGGCTTAGGCTGGTGTTCTATATTGGGGCCCACAACTTCTGACACGAACTGCCGAAGAATGCCCTTTTCTGACTTAAGCCCCAAAATCCCTAAGCCCTAATTCATAAGCCCTAAGCCCTAAACCCT